GGGTTGCGCAGGGGATCAGGGGATCGGGCAGGGAATCGGGGTTGCGCAGGGGATCAGGGGATTGGGCAGGGGATCGGGCAGGGAATCAGGGGATTGAGAATGGGATCAGGGGATCAGGCAGGGGATCGGGCAGGGAATCAGGGGGTTGGGCAGGGGATCAGGGGGTTGGGCAGGCCCAAGGTGTCCCTGTGCCCCATCCCAGGTGGCAGCCCAGCAGCAGGAGTCCGCCACGACACAGAAGGCGGAGCGGGAGGTGTCGCGCATGGTCGTGGTCATGGTGGGGTCCTTCTGCCTGTGCTACGTCCCCTACGCGGCGCTGGCCATGTACATGGTGAACAACCGCAACCACGGCCTCGACCTGCGCCTCGTCACCGTCCCTGCCTTCTTCTCCAAGAGCGCCTGCATCTACAACCCCATCATCTACTGCTTCATGAACAAACAGGTGACACCGCGGCACAGGGGGACACGCGGGGCACCCGCGGGGTATAAGGGACATCCAGGGATACCTGGGGACACCTGGTCATGCCCGGGGCCACCTGCAGGGCTGGCACGTGCCCAGGGACGAGAGATGGGTGTGGCATTAGGGGTGGGAGGACAGTGCCAGGGCCGGACATGGGGCCAGTGGCACCCTCTGGCTGAGCCGTCCCCTGCCCCCCCCGTGTCCCCACAGTTCCGCGCCTGCATCCTGGAGACAGTGTGTGGCCGGCCCATGACCGACGACTCCGAGATGTCCAGCTCGGCCCAGCGCACCGAGGTCTCCTCCGTGTCCTCGAGCCAGGTCAGCCCCAGCTGAGGGGCTGCGGCACCCACCTGGCCCCCAGGACCCCCGGCTGCCCTCCCGGACCCCCTGCTGCCCCCCAGAGCCCCTAGCTGTGGGGCCGGCGCTGCCCTGGGGGTCCGGGGGTCCCAGCCAGCCTAGGATGTAGCGCGGGTGGGACAATAAACCACGGCCGCGGTCTGAGCGCAACAGGGACCCTCTGCGGGGCCCACGGGATGGGGGACACACTGTGGGAACCCCCGTGGGACCCACAGGACGGGGGACACACTGTGGGAACCCCCATGGGACCCACGGGACGGGGGACACACTGTGGGAACCCCCATGGGACCCACGGGACGGGGGACACACTGTGGGAACTCCTGTGGGACCCTCGGGATGGGGGACACACTGTGGGAACACACCGTGGGACCCTCAGGATAGGGGACACACTGTGGGAACCCCCGTGGGACCCACGGGATGGGGGACACAGCACATCCCACGGCAGGGCAGGATGGGGGTCCCAGGAGTGGCTGTCCAGGTGTCCCCCTGTGCCACATGGATGGGTGGGATGGGTGGCTGTGCCCCACGGCAATGCCACAGTGGGTCTCTGCTCCCTTGTCCCCTGCAGGCTCCACAGGCAGTGGGGGGGCAGGGAAGTGGGATGCTGCCCTTCCACCTCCATCTACAGGGCTGGGCTGGGGCTGAGGCCCCCATCCATGGGGTTGGGCTGGGGCTGTGACCCCCATCCATGGGGCTGGACTGGGGCTGGATCCCTTCCGTGGGGCTGGACGGGGGCTGGATCCCTTCCGTGGGGCTGAGGTGGGGCTGAGCCCCCTATCTATGGGGCTGGATCCCCTCCATTCATGGGGCTGGGGTGGGGCTGAGCCCCCATTCATGGGGCTGGGGTGGGGCTGAGCCCCCTATCTGTGGGGCTGGATCCCCCCATGGGTCTGGGGTGGGGCTGAGCCCCCCATTCATGGGGCTGGGGTGGGACTGGATCCCCTCTGTGGGGCTGAGCCCCCCCGATCTGCAGTGCTGAGGGCCAGGATTCCCCTCAGGCCCCATATCACTCCCCTCCCTGAATCCCCAAACCCGCCCCAAGACCCCTCAAGCCCTTCCCCTTCCCTGGGCTCCCCCTGCCCACGCTCTCCCCACTCAGTCTGGGGGGGTGGGTTCCCCTAGATCCCGGTTTGGGGGGACACAGGAACTGGGGTCTGGCCCCCCGGCCCGTGGGGGTTGAACAGTTTATTGAGCCCCAGCCGACACGGATCCCTTCAATCAGCCAGAGCAGAGAACCAAATAAACCCCGAGAAGGCAAAAAATCCGTGTCCGGAGTCGTCAGGGAGACTCAAATCCTCGTGGATGGGGGAAGCAGGAGAGGGACCACAGGGGCTGATGGTGCACAGGGGGGGCGTTCCCGGTGTTCCCAAAATCACAGCTGCTGTCCCAAACTACCCCTGGTGTCCCAAACCACCCCCCACATTCCCAGATCCATGAGCCTGGCATGAGGACATGTTCCCAACACGCTCGCCCCTGGATTTAGGGACGGGGAGGTGGGAGAGGAGGAGGAGGAGGAGGAGGAGGGAGGATCCAGTCAGCACTTGGAAACCCTTGGAAAAGGATTTAAGGGAAAACCCAGGAATTTGGGGGCGACCAGGCCAATTCCACACAGCTCTGGGAGCTGCGGGCAGGGACAAATGACCCAGAAGAGGAAAAACACTGGGAATCATCCCAGAGCGGGGTGGGATGGCTGGATGAGCCCACCCACGCCCAGGCTGGGGGGATTCAAGGCACTTGGAGTGGGGCCGGGGGGGGGGGGGCCCGGCCAGATCCTGGGGGGCAACGATGGGGAAGGGGGGGTTCCCATGCCCCCGGAGTTACCTCCCCTGGGGGTCCTCTCTGGGTGCCCCCCTGGAACCTCCCGGGGTCCTGCTGCTGCTCCGATGGGTTTCAGGGGGCTTTTTGAGGGTTTGAATTCTCATTCCAATTTCACATCAGTGTTTCCATTTAATTTGATTTCACTTCTCAAGTTTAAATCCCATCTCAATTTCCAATTTTCACTTTAATGTTTCATTCCAATTTTAATTCCAATTCCAACTTTAATTCCAATTTTAATTTCCCAATTCAAATTCCAATTTTTAATTCCAATTCCAGCTCCAGTTCCAATTTTTTAATTCCAATTTCAACCTGCGTCCCAATTCCGACTTTTATTCCACCTCCAATCCCAATCCCGCTGTGAATCCCCCACTCCCCCCGTAGCCCCGGGTGGCCCCATCGCCGCCCCCACACCGGGAACGGTGGTGGCGGGGGGAGCCATTTCCACACATGGTAAAACCAAAACATACAAAAATAACCCCAAAGTCGTTAAAATCCCAGGAAAACCCACGACAAGACGAGCCCCAAGTGCTGGGGGAGGGGTGTGTGGCTTTCCCGAGCCCCATCCCTTTGGAGCCGGGATGGGGTTTCCCGTGGCGGGAGCGGCCTGGGCGCGGGACGGAGCCCCTGAGCAGGTGGCGGCACAGGCCTAGAACTCGTCGTGCCGCACCAGCGCCTCCCCGAAGTCCGTGGCCTGGCTGCCCACGAACAGGTCCGACTTGTCCACGATCTCCTCCCGCGTCAGCTTCCCGTCCTGCAGGGAATGCCACATCCCGCTATTCCTCTCCGCTCCTCCCACCCCGCTCCTCCCGAAATCCCACCGGAGCGCCTGCCCACCTTGTCCTGGTCGGACTCGTAGACGAGGTGCCGGGCCTCGGCCTCGGCGTGGTCGTAGTCCGAGGGCAGGATCCAATCCTTGGTCTCCTCCTTGTCCATCTTCCCATCCCGGTTCTTGTCCCGGAATTCCACAAACTGTTCCCTCTCCGTCTTCACCCACTCGGGCTCGTCGGCGTCACCATCCTGGCTGTACATGTCACCTGTGGGGAGAGTGGGAGCGGGATCCCAAGGACTGATCCGAAGCCTTGAACTCCCTAAGTCCATCCCCCAAATCCCAAAGCACCATTCGGGTCAGGATTCCACCCCAAAATCCCCAACAGTGGCCCAAGGTGGAGGGCAGAAGTTGAGAAGTGGGAAGGAGAGAACATTCCCAGAGGGGGAAGGATGGGAAGGACATGCCGGCAGTGGCTGACACTGCATGGGGAAACGGAAGGGACACGGAGGGGACACAGAGGGGACACGGAGGGGACACGGAGGGGACACGGAGGGGACACGGAGGGGACACGGAGCACTGTGGCTCCTGCATCTCACCGATGTACTCCTCCAGATCAATGAAGCCGTCACCGTTCTTGTCAATGTCCTCCATGGTTTCCTGCACAGAGACACCGGCATGAGCCAGACCTGGAGTGATACCCACCCCACCAGAGCTTCCTGGGGAACACCCCCTTCCCAACACCTCCGTGCCAGCCCCACCTGCACGACGATGTCCTTCATGTAGTCGTACTCCTCGGGGTGCAGGAAGGCCGTGAACTCCTCCTTGGTGGCCGCCAGGTCCCCGTCCTTGTCGGCCATCTTGAAGCGCCGCTCGTCCCGCACCATCATCTGTTTGTAGTTGAAGCCGTCGTCGGGGTCCGGATCATCTGGGAAGGAGCAGAGGGAGAGCCCGGATCAGCTCAGGCAGGGGAGGGACCATGGTCAGCACCAACCCAAGCCAACCACAACCCAACCCCAACCCAACCACAACCTCAATATCCTCACCCTCAACTCAAACTCATCGCCAGCTCAACCTCCTCAGCGGGCCCTTCTCACCCTCAACTTCCTCAGCACAACCTCAACCTCCTCCACCCAACCTCAACCCCCCCACCTCAGCCCAACCTCCCGATGCTTTGCCACTGCATCCTCCACCGCAGCTCCCGGCAGCCGCCACGTCTCTCCCGCGCCCATTCCCAGGAGAAGGAGGAGCTGCAGCAGCCCCGGGATCGTGGCATTCCCAGGGAGAGGCCCCAGTAGACAGGGCCCAGGGGGTTTGGCCGGCACAGTCAGAGGCTCAGCTGGAGCTATTTCGGGAGGGGAATGTGTAAGGGGATCTCGCTCCCTGCCGGGGCAGCGGCAGAGCCGGGCGGCATCGGCCGGGTGGGATCACAGGGCCACTCGGCACAGCACCACCGGCAGCGGGAGAGGAGCTCTAGGACACGGAACTGGCAGTGTCCAGCAGCCTGTGGAGAACATGGGTCCAGGAGTTAAATTAAACCAAAGCCAAGCCTGGTCTAAAAAAAAAAGGCTCCAAAAGGCTCAGTCCCTTTGTCCCTGCTCTGCTACCTGGAACAAAAGGCACAGATTACGGAGCTCTGGACCAAGGGACTCCAGATTAAGGAGCTCTGGAGCAGCCCCAGAGCCATTAAATATCTAAAGATTTTGATTTTAAGGCACCTCTAGGGTAGAATAAACCCAAAATTCCCTATTGTATTCCCAAGGTTTCACCTTGGGAAGCGGCACAGCCTCCCAAGCAAGGAAACCCTCAGGATTGGTCCCATTCCTTAACTGCTGTCAGGCCAACTGATGAGTTTGATGGAGGGTGGGGTTTAGCAGGTGGGCTAAAAATGGTCAACCCCCCTCCCTCCAAGAGCCCGTAAAGCCACTTTGTGTCATGGTCCTTGGGCAGGGGGAGGTTTGGGGAAGCAGATGGAGAAGCTTCTCCTGGAATGAGTGTTCCTGGTTTCAGATTCCACTGTAGGACTCAGGAGTTAACAAAAATAGGATAATGATGATGATGATGATGATGATTTGGATCCCACCCCAGGACTGAGGAGTTAACAGAAATAGGATAATGATAATGATGATGATTCAGATCCCACCCCAGGACTGAGGAGTTAACAATAATGGGATGATGATGATGATGATGATATGATGATTATCATTCTATTTTGATTTTGAAGGGAGTTTCGAAGGGATTTTCACTCCAAGACGAAGCTCTTGGATATTTATCGCTTGGTATTCCCTGCTTCCTGGGATTCCCCCAGCAGAGCCCCCCCACACTGCTCAGTGACACCTCTGGGGGCCACCTAATGACTCATTCTCGCATTTAATTAACTAATTAATAAAACCACCCCCAGCACCTGGGGGGTTTTGCTGACAAAACACTGCATTCCTGACCCTTTGGAGCAGCCCCAGGGCGGTGCCCGGCCCCACAACACAACCCTCGGCTGCGTGCCAACGCTCCGGAGGCACTTCCCAGGCATTCCAGCCCCGCTCTGGCCAGGGAGGGGAGCGAGGGGAAGGGAGGGAATCTTCCAGCAGCAAGGAGCCAGGGGAAAAAGCGATTCCTGCCGAGAGGAGCCCGAGCCAGGGCGTGAGGCGGGACCCTCCCGGCGCTCCGTAAGGACACAACTATGTGGGAGCAGCAGCACGAGCTGAGGCTCCATCGGGGCCTGCCAAGGACACTGAGCCTCCAGCACCGCTCCGGGTTTGGGATTGACCGTGCTGGGGCCGGGCACTGCCCTCTTGCTGCTCTGGCTGTGGGAAGGGGCTTCTCCTTAAGCTCATTAAGAGGGTTTCGCTAATTCAGGGGTTTCTCATTAAGGTTTTTCTTTGTTAAGTTCCCCCTCATTAAGTTTTCCCCCGCCCTTAAGTTTTCCCTCCTTAAGGTTTATATTTTTCCCTGTCCCGCGCCTGCAGGTCTTAAATCCCACCCCAGACCCCTCAAACCCCTCACGTAAAAAGGGTGTTCCAACCCTTCCCAGGATCTCTCCTCTCCCTTCCAAGCTGGATTTACATGGGCAGATAAGCACAGATCCCAGAAATCCACGGCAAAGGGAGGTTTGGGAAGCGCTGCCCCAGCCCGGGAAGGGGTGGGGGGGGGGTTTTCCCCAGCCACCAGCACGGCAAACCCAGATCCTCCCCGAGCCTGAGGGACACGGACGAGCCCGAGGGAGATGGATGAGCCTCCCGTGTGGCAGCTCCCCTCCGCACATCCCACGGAGCAGTTTGACTATTTTTGGCAATATTTAGGAAATTTGAGCGGGGTTTCACGCTCTGGAGCCGCGGCTCCTCCGCCTGGCCCCGTCTGCGGTGCTGGAGGCAGGAGCTGGCACAGGGACAGGGAGTTTAAGGTTTTAACCCCAAAACAGCTGCTCCTTCCCGTGCTCCCGGGGGTGTCCGAGGCCGTGGCTCGTGTTCTAAAATTCCCAAGTTCCAGAGTCTAACACTGCTCCTGGGACAAGGGAAAGGGATTAACAGTTCTGCTGATGGTTTTTGTGGATTCGGGGTGGGATGGACACACTAAGGTGGTTTCAGAGCCACAGGTCAGTTGGTTCCACCTGCAGGTTCCAAATGCCCCCATGAGACAGGAATTCCAAAGGACCAAAAACCCCCATTCCCGCATGCTGTTAATCCCTAAATCAGTGGGATTCAGCCCAGAGTTGTGTTTGTCCTCAGAGACATCAATTACACAAAGTTGGGGCTGTGTGGGGGCACAAACATCCCCTTGTTGGGGGGGGTGGGGGTGTCACATATTTTGGGTTCTTTTCCTTGGATTTCCCTTCAGTAATGCCACCAGAAGGTCAATTCGGGGAGTTTGGGGGATTTTTAAGTGAAAACTTCAGGGACGCCTGCCCAGGCTGGCACATCCCTGGGCTCATTCCAGGGGACAAATCCAGCTTGGGCCAAGTCAAATTCCCACCACCTGCTGCTCTGCACTCCCAGTCAAGGAGTTCTTCTGGGCCTCCTTAATCCAGGCCCCAAGCTCTCATTCCGTCACAACCCCATCCTGATCCATGTCCCTCCCTCTGACCCTCACACCACAACCCCATTCCAACCCATGTCCCTCCCTCTGACCCTCACACCACAACCCCCTCCCGATCCACGAACATCCCACTGACCCCCGTGAACAGCTCGTCTCAACCGCTGGCTCCAGGAAAGGCTCATCCCCAGCACCAGGACCTACCCAGGATGTATCCATAGGTGGCATTTTTATACTCCTCCCAGGAAACCAGCCCATCCTCGTTGAGGTCGTGGCCCTTCCACTGCCGCTCCACATCCTCGTAAATCCAGCGCTTCTGGGCAAACTTGATCCAGGCCTTGAGCTCCTCCACCGTCACAAACCCGTCGCCATCCTCGTCTATTTTCCCCACAATCTTTCTGTGGGAAACACGGAGAAATTCAGATAAAAGTTAAAGAAAACAAGAGGCTGTAGGGGAGGGAATGGGAAGACGGAGCAGGTGGAGGTGGTCACAGAATTTGGGAATTCAACTATTTGGAGAGTTTATCCCTAAAACCAGCGTACGGTTCAGCTGCCAAAACCCCAGCTCAGCCCCTCTTGGGCCACTCAGGTTTTGGTTTCTCCAGGAATTAAAGGTTTTCGGGGAAAAACTTCCTTCTTAGATCTTTGGGAAAGACCCATCCGTGTGTCCTTCCCACTAAGACGGCACCGGACGGGGAGCACGGACACGGCTTTATACTAAAACTGGGAATCTCTTTTGGTAGAGATAGTAGAATTTAGGAATATTTGGGAATTATAATTTGGGAATTCTACTATTTGGAAAGTTCACCCTTTAAAACCAACGTTTAGTTTAGCTGCCGAAACACCGGCTCCGACACGGAAATCACCGCCTTGGCTTTGGTTTCTTCAGGAACTACGAATTTTAGCAGAAAAGCTTCTTTGTTAAATCCCAGGAAAGCCCCGTCTGTGCGTCCTCCCACCTCCACGGTGCCGGGTGAGGAGCAAAGACACACGTTTTTCCCCAGAACTGGGAAGTTGGGCTCGGGCACAGGAACCGTGCCGGGCCGGTCCCACCCGCTGCCCGGGGCAGCAACCGGAGCAGCCGCGTGCCTCCGTTATTTTTAGCAGCAGCTGTAGGAGAAGCCACGGCAGGAATGCGGGATCCAGGGGCAGATGGGAGCTGGAGGGGGGTGGGGGCTGCTGTTGGATCCGCGGGGTTCGCTCCAGCTCCACGCTGGGACGGTTTTGAGCTCCCCCCCCCACCCCCCCGATGAAAATCAGGGATAAATCAGTCCCAAAAAATCCATTGTCTGGTGAAGCAAGATCCTGGTTTTTCTCCTTTGACAGGGAGGTTTAATGGAAAGCCAATCAGGAATCCCGAGCTCAACTGAGGCATTTGAGGAATTTTAAAAAGACAGGTGGGAAATAACGGCGTTTTTAAATCACCACCAGGACAATTAATTCCCAAAATACTGAGGCAAAGGGAAACCTGAACACTGGAGCCACCTGCACTTGCTCCCAGTTTTTTGTATTCCAGAACTGCCTTGATCAAGGAAAACCAAGAATTCTTCCATGGTACAATGGGAAGCCGGGGAGAAAACTGTGAGGAAGCTGAGGGAAACACAGGATTTAACTCTGGCAGAGTCTCAGCATGGGGTGCCCTGCCTGGGAGACCTGAGGGGTTTTATAGACAAACATGTAACATAAATAAGTAAATGTGCAAACAGAGCTCCTCAACAGAGCCCAAACTGACAGGGAAATAGGTAAAATACTACAGAAACATTTCAGAGTTTTCCACCTCCACGTGCAAAGTGTCTCCTCCAACATTCCTGATCAAACTTCACAGGAAATCATGAAAAATGTCACAGAAACATTCAGAGCTTTCCACATAAATATATATTAAAAAAAAAAGATCAATAATATCACATGAACATTAAACATCGGCCCACATAAATATATAAGCCACAAATAAATCAGGGGTTTCAGGGAAACAATTCCATGTTTCCCTTTCCCAGGTGGGTAATGCTACCAGCAAAGGGATTTATTGGGGAAAACTCCTGGAACGGAGAACTTGAGCTGGTGGTGGTCAATGACCAAAGCAGCTTTTTCAAAGGGCAGTTTGCAGGGGGTTAATTCGGGAACAGCTTCCCAGGAAAGCCAAACCCTCTCCAGCCTGGAGCTGGGCACTCAGGAAGCTCCCAAACCTCCTCCCCCCAGCTGGTCCCGAGCCCAGGGCCAGCACCAGCTGCTCCCGGCTGCTTTCCCAGGGCAGGAGCCACCGAATCCGAACATTTTCCCAAACCCCCCCACTCTGTCCCCCTGCAAGAGCGGGGACAACAGATGTTTGGGAAGGGCTGGCAGCTGCTCCTCGTTCCCACTCCCTGATCCAAGGGGATCTGGGTGCCCAGTGCTGCTGCCAGGGAATGTTGCTGGGACAAAACAAGGTAGAGCGCGGGACCTCGTTCCCAAATCCCTGACCGACAGAGCACAAGACCTCGTTCCCAAATCCCTGACTGATAGAGCACAGGATATTGTTCCCAAATCCCTGACTGCCCAAAAAGCAGAGCTGCATGCAAAGAGATCTGGCCAAGCCAGAGGCGGAGCTCTACTAGGAAAATGGAGCACAACTCCCGTTAAAGCGCAGAATTTATGGAATCAGACCTCGGTAACAAGTTTATCAAAGCAATTCCAGCTGGGGAAAAGTGGGAATTGGCTTCTGTGGATAAAAGTGAGGCTGGTTTGTTGTGCAGAGGGCGTTGAATCTCTGATGGAAACTCTGCCCGGGCGGCACTACCGGCGTTCCGGCAGATAACTCGGCAGAACAATGGGATTGAGCCGTGACGGAGCCCTTGGATCGGGAACGTGGCGGGGGAGGGAGGCCAGGGGGGCCCTGCCTGCTGCAGCCAGAGCTGCAGTTCCCTTGGAATCCACCACTGCTCCAGGAGGATCGAGGGGTTTGCTCCGATTTCCCAGGCAAAAAAAGCCTCCTGGATCCTGTACTTTGGAGGCTGCAAAACAACCAGGGCCTGGCTCCAAGGGATCCAGGGGTTTTCCAGATTAAACAGTCCCTAGGGGGAAAAAATTCCCCTCTGGCCTCCAAGACTGAACTGCTGGGGGCAGCTCCCTCCTACCCTGAGCCTGGATGATCCATAGGGATGAATGGAGACCTGCACATCCCACTGTATCCGTGAGGTTTGGTTCGCTCCGGGGTTTCCCTCACCACCCACACGTGGCTGAGCTTTTCCTTCCCATCAGGGAGCCCCATTCCCAAAAACCTCCCAAAATTCACCGCGGGCTGCAGCGGGTGCTGCTCCAGCAGCAGCACAGTCGGGATGCTCAGCTGCCAAAAGGGGAGGTTTAGGTGGGATATTGGGAAGGAATTGCTGGCTGGGAGGGTGGGCAGGCCCTGGCATAGGTTGGCCAGAGAAGCTGTGGCTGCCCCTGGATCCCTGGAAGTGTCCAAGGGCAGGTTGGACGGGGCTTGGAGCAACCTGGGCCAGTGGAAGGTGCCCCTGCCCATGGCAGGGGGTGGCACTGGATGGGCTTTGATGCCCCTTCCTGCCCAAGTCATTCCATGATACCACGAAACCCAACCCAACTCCCGCAGAGTTCCGGGACTGGAGCCCAACATCCCAAGGAGTGTCCCGAGCTCCCCAGAGAGCCTCCAGCCCACCCTGCTCCCTGCTCAGGACTGCAGCTCTCAGGCTGGAGCTGCCCAGAGCCCCTGGAACAACTGCGGGGCAGCAGCTGCTGCAGGGACACAAAGGCCCCACTCTGCTCCTGGGAATGATCCCAGAGCTAGACTAGGGGGGCTGGGAATGCCCAGCCAGGGCTCAGGGGAAGCACAGCCATCCCAGATCCCAAGGGAGGCACAGCCATCCCGGATCTCAGGGGAAGCACAGCCATCCAGGATCCCAGGGGAGGCCCATCCCAGATCCCAGGGGAGAACCATCCCATCCTAGGGGAGGCCCAGCCATCCCCGATCCCAGGGGAGGCCCAGCCATCCCGGATCCCAGGGGAGGCCCAGCCATCCCGGATCCCAGGGGAGGCACAGCCATCCCAGATCCCAAGGGAGGCACAGCCATCCCGGATCCCAAGGGAGGCCCAGTCATCCCGGATCCCAAGGGAGGCCCAGTCATCCCGGATCCCAGGGGAGGCACAGGCCCGCGCCAGAGAGGGAATTTCCATGCAGGTTGTGTTTTCCCAGCTGCCTCCCAGCTGGGAAGCTCCAGTGATCCCAGGGGCTCTGGCACTACCCGGAGAACACGGACAGCCCCCCACTGTCACCTCCACTCTGGAGCTCTGGGAAGCACCTCATGGTGGGAATGGCTCCAGGTGACTTTTTGGGGAACGCCCGGCGCTGGGCAGAGATGGCTCCCGCTCCAGGCAGCTCCGGAGGCCGGAGCAGGCTCTCTGTGCCCGCAGCTCCCCCCGGGGAACGTTGGCAGGGCCATCCTTACCCCAGGCGCTCCTTGCTCTCCTCGGGGGTGAGCTGGTCGAAGCTCTTGGCCTCCTCGGCTCCCAGGAAGGCGTCGTGGTCGTAGTCGAAGCTCTGGGCGTCGTCGTGCTCGCGGGCGCTGAGCGGGGCCTCCCGCACCACCCGCTCCTTGCGCTCCGTCGGCTTCCCGGAGCCGCACAGCGCCCAGGCCAGCAGGCACAGCAGGAGCCGCGGGAACAGCATCCTTCCTGGGCCTGGACGGGCACACGGACGGCCGGGATGGGCACGGGGAAGGGCGGCCGGACCACCGGGGACGGGCACGGAGCGGAGCTGGAATGGGAGTTGGGGGGGGAAAGAAACGGGGATTAGGGACGGCTGTCTGGGAAAAATGGGATTAGCACGGGTTGTCCGGGAAAAATAGGGATTAGTGATGGTTGCCTGGGGGAAAAAATGGGGAATTAGGGCAGGTTACTGGGGAAAAACCAGATTAATTGATACAGATTATGGGGCCAAAAATGAGGAATTAATCCAGGCGATAAAGTGATAAATACAGATTGTCTGGGCAAGGACGATGAACTAATGCAGACTGTCTGGGAAGATGGGGAATTAGTGCACATTATCTGGGAAAAAAGGGGAATCAGTGCACATTATCTGGGAAAAAAGGGGAATCAGTGCAGGTAATCTGGGAAAATGGGGAATTAGTGCACATTATCTGGGAAAAAAGGGGAATCAGTGCAGGTAATCTGGGAAAATAAGGGGAATTAGTGCACATTATCTGGGAAAATAAGGGGAATTAGTGCACATTATCTGGGCACAAATGACTGGTTAATGCAGATTGTCTGGGAAAATGGTTTAATTCCTGCAGATTGTCAGGGCAAACTGATTAATTCATGCAGATTATCAGGGCACAGTAATGAGCCGATACGAGTTATCCGGGCAAAAGTGCTTCCCTGGCACGGAATATCAGGGTACAGCAATTAATTAACACAGATTATCAAGGCACAGGGATTAATTAATGTGCATTATAAGGGCACAGGGATTAATTAACGTGGATTATCAGGACACAGTGACCTTTGAGTCCCTGGCACGTGCAGACACCCCAATCCCCATCCCAGAGCCCCCCGGAGCAACAACTGGGGCTGGGAGAGGATCCAAAAGTGGAGGAGGGGATCCCACTGGGAGGGAAGGGGATCCCAACGGGAAGGAAGGGGATCCAGCATGGGGAAGGAAATCCTGGCAGGAGGAATGGGAACACACGCAGCACGTGCCGCCTCTACTCTCCCCTGTCCCGACATTCCCTTTAAATTCCAATCCGAGTATTCCCTACTCTGATCCATTTAACCAAAAATTTATATCAAGGTATTCCCTTTCTCTAACTCTTTCAGTCGAAGTTTAATCAGGATATTCCCCTTCCAGAGCTCTTAAATCCGAATTTAATTCGGGATATTCCGCACCCTCGCTGCTTTAATCGAAATTTCAGCCAAACATAATCTCCATCCTCATCCCTTTAAATTTACATCCAGGTGCTCCCCAACTTCAGCTCTTTAAATCTGTGTTTAAAATCCGGGTATATTCCCCATCCTTATGCCTTTAACATGGACTCAGAACAAGGAATTCTGCCCTGGGAGTGACCCAGGAATGACCCAGGTCCAGGACTGGTCCCACGTCAAACCAGGACAGTGGCATCAATCAGGACATGGGGACAAGGACATGGAGAAGCCCCTTCTGCCCCTTTTTTGGGAGGAGGATTTATTGGGCCATTCAGAAAATCCACATTTTCCAATTCCTTTGGAAGTTTGGGGGGAGCAGGGAAAGGGGATTTGGGTTATAAAGAGGAAAAGTCACTTTTTCGGTGTTTCCAGGAAGGAAAAACATTCCAGGAGGAGGGGAAAGGAGGGGAAAAGCCAATTCCAGGTGTTATCTAAACAGAGCTCTGGATATATCCCCGTCCCAGGGATCTGACTCTTGTTCATTCCAGGCACATCCCAGGGATCAGCCCAGCCTGGGGCACAGCGTGACCTGGAACGGGGTCAAACACCCTGATTTTATCTCCAGAGTCCACACAGAGCCTCTGGAAGCCACTGCAGAGGGACACTCCGACCTCCAACCAGATCCAGGCACGGATCCCGGGAGCTGCCCCGGGAAAGGTGCTCGGAGAGGCCAAACCCACACACCAACTTCTATCCACAACTATCCATAAAAACCCCGGCAGCACCTTCTGCCAGCCAATGGGATGGACCCCGAGATTTCCCTTGGAAAAAACAGCCCCTCTCCTGCTGGGAAAGGCAGCAGATCCCTGTTCTCCTGAACAAAGAGGGGAAGGTGGGAACAGGGATCAGTGGTGGGAATGTGGGGGAGGAACTTGAGATTATTCCAAGTGGGTTCGCTGCAATACTGATGAATGAATAAACCCAGAATTCCCATTGGGTTCACTTGGAATTCCACGCCGGGCTTGGAATTGTGGTGGGATTTACAGCGCACTGATGGGCAGGAGCCCCTCTGGAAGCGCATTTCCCACCTGGGAAGCTGATAAGATCCCACAAAACCTTCCAGAGGCGACACAATTTGGTCAGATTTGGGAATCAGCCCCTGTTGTGGCTTTTTATGGGATTGATCCCATGGGAGCAGCCAGGCATCAATTACCTGGGATGCCCAGTGGCACACGAGGACACAGGCAAGGGTAAGGGGGCAACCCTGGGGGAATTCCCAGCCCCGGGGGGAATTTATGGATCTGAGGGAGTCACTGGGAGCCGAAACCAATCCCAGGGTATAAACAAGCAGGTCCTGCCCCAAACCAGCCCCCCAGGGCCTAGGGGTCACCGACGGCTCCGGAAGGGGAAAACGGATTTGGGGTGACACCTCCTCGCACCGGGGTGCCCGTGCAGGGCGGCACCACCAGGGCTTCCACAGCCCCTTATCCCGTTATCCCGCGGGCCCCACAACCCCTTATCCCGTTATCCCGGTGGTCACACAGTCCCTTATCCCGTTATCCCGCGGGTCCCACAATCCCTTATCCCGTTATCCCGGTGGTCACACAGCCCCTTATCCCGTTAACTCCCCGGGTCCCACAGCCCGTCACCCCGGCGGAGGACGCTGCGGGGTTGCCCGCGGGCCGGTCCCGAGCGGGCGGCGGGGCCCGGACGGGGCTCGGTCTCCGGGACGGGGCAGCCCCGGCCGCCCCCGCCCGCCCTGGATCCGGCACACGGGCGGCCCCGGGGCCGCTCAGCACCGCACGGGCCGGGCCCGGCTGCGGCACTCACGGGTACAGCGGCGGTGCCGCTCCCGCCCGTTCCCATGGCGACCGGGCCCGGCGCCGCGACCGCCGCGTTACCGCCGCCCCACAGTGGCCCGGCAGAGCCACCGCCCCCGCCTCCTCCTCCCGCTCCCCGGGCCCGAAGCCCACGCCCGGACCGGATCGAACCGAACCGAATCGAATCGATCCTATCCCGTCCCGTCCCTCACCGTCCCAGCCGCCGCCGCCGCTCCGCGCACCGGAAGTCGTTGCCGCGCCACGCCGCACGGCCCCCCGCGCGCCCGCGTCGCCAGCCAATCACAGCCCGGACGCTCCTCCCCCGCCGCGCCGTTCTCCGCGCTTATTGGTCCGCTCCGCCGTCACTCCGCACCTGCGCCCGCCTCCCTCCTCGCCGCGCCCCGCCCTCCCCTCCCGCCCCCTCTGTCCCCGCCCCCCCTCGCGCGGGACGCCGGAGCTGATTGGCTGGAAAACGCCACGTCCTCAGGCGCGCGCCGGCCGCCGGCCCCGCCCTCCCGGGGGCACCCCGCGCTCACTGCGCATGCGCCTGGGAGGGAGGGAGGTGGAAAAGGCGGGAAAGTCGAGGCGGCGGTGACGCCATGTTGGGGGGGGCGAGAGGGCCCTTCCTGGGCCATTCCAGGGCCATTCCCAGCCTTTCCCACCTGGCCAAGCAGCGGGGCTGCCACGGAACCTCACGGGTGGAGTTCTGGCCACGGAGCCTCGGAAACAATTAGGTTCACACAGTCACAGACTCCCCTGAGCCGCAGGGACCCACAGGGATCACTGATCCAACCCCTGGCTCTGCGCAGACACCCCAACAATCCCACCCTGGCCCTGCGAGCGCTGTCCAAACGCTCCCTGAGCTCTGGAGCTGTGACCTCTTCCCTGTTCGGTGCCTGACCCCCCTCTGGGGGCAGAACCTTTCCCTGAGATCCAGCGTGACCCTGCCCTGGCACAGCTCCAGCCTTTCCCTCATTCCTGACATCTTTATCCAGCTGGGCTGGGCAGTTTGTCCAGAAGGATAAGGGGAGAGATAGAATTGAAACGTTTTTAAAGTACAAGAGAGCCATGGAGGGGCTGGAGTGTGTGCAGGGCAGGGAAGGGAGCTGGGAAGGGTGTGGAGAACTCCTGAGGGAGCTGGGGGGGCTCATCCTGGAGAAAAGGAGGCTCAGGGGGGACCTTCTGGCTCTGCAAGTCCCTGCCAGGAGGGAATGGGGCACAGAGTTGACTCCATGGGCTGGAAAGACTTTTCCAACCTCTGGGATTCTGGGAAAGCCTTACTGAAATCCTAGAGGATTTCATCTGGCTTCCCTGGATCACCTCAGGGGAGACCTTACAGTCCAAGGGAAGGAGGTTTGGCAGCCAAGATGTTCCCTGGTGGCCCCATGGGTATGATGTTCCTTCTCCATAACTCCCAGAGTGACCTTCTCCATGCTTGGACCAGGCACCAAAAGGAGACAAGAGGCCTGGAGCTTCCAGGTCGTCCTTCTCGCTCTTCTGGAAAATTGGGATGTTTGCCAGCTGCCAGTGGATTTCAGTTGGAAAAGCCCTCAGAGACCAACCGTCCCCAGCACTGCCAAGGCCACCGCTGGCCCGTGTCCCCAGCTGCCACATCCACAGGGTTTGGAAACCTTTCCAGGTTATGGGCACTCCACCCTGCCCTGGGCAGCTGTGCCAGGGCTGGACAGCCCTTTCCATGAGGGAATTCCTCCTCATGGCCAACCTGAGCCTCCCCTGGCACAGCTTGAGGCTGTTTCCCCTTGTCCTGTCCCTGTTCCCTGGGAGCAGAGCCCGACCCCCCCCGGCTCCCCCCTCCTGGCAGGGACTTGCAGAGCCAGAAGGTCCCCCCTGAGCCTCCTTTTCTCCAGGATGAGCCCCCCCAGCTCCCTCAGGAGTTCTCCAGACCCTTCCCAGCTCCCTTCCCTTCCCTGCACATGCTCCAGCCCCTCTCTCCATGAGGGTCCCAGCCATGCTCCAGACGTGCCCTAAGCCATGAGCACATGGATCTGGAAATAACCTCAGGGCTCCTCTCTTGGAGTGACAGCCCGGCTATAAATAAATCCACTCGCTCCGGTGGCCGAGGCTGCGCCGCTCTAAAGGGCTCCTCGGACAAGGTGTGATGCCATCGGCAGGGAATGTCTCCCAGTCCCGGTTTACGGGCTCCCGGCAGCGTCAGGTTCTATTTAACCCACGCTGGCTCCTCGTGATGACACATCGGGGCTGAGCTCAGCGCCGATCCCAAGGGATGAGTCCCGGGAGCCGCGTCTGCCCCACTCCCCGCGGAGCCCCCGGAGAGAAACCGGCGCTTCCAGGGCCGTGATTCATCCCCATCCCGCAGAAATGCCTAAATTAGGGCAGCGGGAGAGTCCAGGGCTGCGGCTCCCCCGCTCCGAGGGAGCTGTGCCGGGGCAGAGGCTCCCGGCGGATATTTACAGTCCATGAGATAATTCCCTCTCCCCTCGGCCTCGCCGGGAGCGGGGCCAGGACTGACACAGCCCCGCAGTGAAGTCACAGCCTGAAAAAAAAACCTCACCCAAAGTTACTTGGAGAACCTCCCGCTGCATCTCTCCCCTCGTTAATCCCCCCTGGATCTGGCAGGGGCTCAAAGGGAAAACGATCCCGGAGATTGGGAGCGGGCACTGGCAGCAGGAGATCTGTTTGGTTTTGTTCATCAGAGGTGGCTCGGCAGGGCTGAGAGGGCTTTTCGGTCAAAAGGTGACTCAGCAAGGTTGAAATGCTTTGCTGGTTGAAATGCGCCTTGGAGGGGGCTGAGATGGGTCTTTTTAAATAAAAAATGGCTTGAGGGGTTGGGATTTATTTTTTTTTTTAATTAAAAAAACCCAGTTTGAGTGGTGTTTGGAGGGTTTTTTTTTTAATAAAAAATGCCTTGAGGTGCTGAAGCGTTTGGTTATTTTAATAAAAGGTTGGGGGGCATCTCTGTGGTTTTTAGACTTTAATGCTTGCGGATTTCAGGCTTTTCCCTTGTTCCACTTCTCCCAGTTTCTCAACCTTTTAAAGCCACTGACACGTTGCACCTTGATCCTCTTTGCTCACAATATTTAGCACAAGGTAAAACCAACTCCCAATCCCTACTTTCCTGTCTCAAGCTCCCCAATCCCAGGATCCCACTGTTTTTGCCCAAACAGTGGACATTTAATGGTTTCTCCCCAGTGACAGATGACATTTCCCTTCCCCTTGGCCTTGTCCCGCTCCTGGCCTGTGCTGACAGCAGCTCCACCCCAAACTGGGGGGTGATAATCCAATTTTCACACACTCCCCAGCTGGATATTTATGAATGGGACCCTCAGATGCTTCCAAACCCCAGAATTTAGCAAAACACGTTATTTATTAACCAGCTTTCGGGCTGCAGCCCTGTTTGCCCCGTTGTCACACACCCTGGTCAGCAGAGCTCCAAGGAGGATGGCCTCAGGATTTGGGCAAAGGGGGAAGGGAATTTTATGTGTCTCATGCCCTGCCTCAGTTTACCTCAGCCAATGGGAAGGTGGCTTTGGAAAGCCCAAACCGCCAAACCTTTCCCAGCTTCCTCCAATGACTCATTCCCGATTTATCCTCATGCTCCTGTGCCTCGTCCTGACCCTCCGTGGGGTGCTCTGGCAGTCGGGGGTCCAGGCGGGGCGCTGGTCCCACAGCTGCGCTCCCAAGCGGAGCCACGCTGAGCCCGATCCCATAAACCCCGGAGCCACAGGGCCGTGACGCCATCCTGGATTGGCAGTGGGAAAAGCAGGAACCTCCTGCCCCCCCCCCCCAAAAAAAAAAAAAAAAAAAAACCAACAAAAAATCCGGCAGAAGAACCCGCAGATCCCCCCGCGGTGGTTTGAAGGTGCGGGGCGAGGGAGAAGGAGGAATCCCGGGGCCAGGAGCGCAAAAATGGGGCGGCTGTGGGAGGCTTGGACACAGGGATGGGAGCGAGGAATGCCCCGGCTAATCCTCTCGCCCGCTGCCTCCTATTTAGGGAAGAACCAAGGAGGCCGCGTCGGGCTCCTGGCATCCCTCCCGGCCCCGCTGGCCGAACCCCGGCCCCGCGTCCCCTCCTCCCGCTGCTCGGGGTCAGTCATCGGCAAAGCCGCCTCGGCCGGAGCGGAGCTCCGGGGCCCGCAGAGGCGAATTCCCGCTCCTCTGGCCGCCCCGGCGTGTGCCGAGGGCGCCGGGAGCCGGGGATGAGGCGCTGGGAGCCGGGGATGAGGCGCTGGGAGCCGTGATCTCAGGGAGCAGCAATGCGAGGGCGCTGCCAGCGCGGCCGCCAGCCCAGAAATGTCCTTGTCCCTGCACGGCGCTGTCCCTGGCGCTGCCCGGGGCACACACCATTGTCCCCAGCACCTGTCCGGGGCCACCACCGCGGGGACGCGGGACAGCGCCGAGCCCGGGGCGGCCCCGAGGAAGGAGCCGCTCCCGCCGGGCTCGGGCGTGTGTTGAGGAAGAAAAGAGGGGTCTGCCCCAGCCGAGCCGGCGGCCCGGAGCTCCCGCTCCCCCCTCGGCCACCCCGAAGTCCCCAAATTCCGTGGGTTTCTGCACCTCTGCGCTGTCGCTGCTAGGACACGCTCATGTCGGATCCGCAGCACGAATTCCAAGCGGCTCTCACGCCGCCACTTGGAACTCCCGCGATCCCGCAGCGGGATGGGGCTGCGGGGCGGGACAGCTCCCCGCTCCGGGGGGGCTTCTCCGCCCTGCTCTCCCGCTGCGGGATGACGGATGCTGGTGAAGGATTACACCATCGGTCTCCCCCTCATCCCGGGCGGTAAATTTTTCCCAACTCTCTCCATCTCCTGGAGCTTTTATTGGGAGCGCTCGAGCCAAGAAGGAGAGACTGAACTGGGGAACTCCTGTTTACGGGGCAGATGGATTTAATTAAAACCATTCAAGTCATTAAAAGTGATTTGCCAGCTAAATCAGCACAGGGAGAAACCTCCCACCAACTTCGCCCCCTCCCTCTCAGGTTTGTCCTTTTAACCCTTTCCTCGGGGAAAGGTCACGGGAGGCAGTGGTCGGGCCCCGGTGAGGGTGAAAGAACCCAGAGACAACCGTGTGTCCCCAGTGTCTCAGGAGGCTCCGGGACTCGGCGTGTGGCCGTCCTGGCACGGCGGCTTTGCCGCGGGACATCCTGGATCCGATCCCTGAGGCGGGTCTCGCCCGTGCCCGCCTGAGGCTCTGCCTTTCCCGGGAAACGAGCTCGCTTCCCGCTGCCCGGCAGGTCCCGGCGCTCCGTCCCGCGCTGCCCTTCGTCACCCGATCCCGGAGAGCTCCTCTTCGCTGGCTCCCGGCTCCCGACCCCTCGCAGCGCCCGAGGGAACATCCCGTCACGGCTCCGTGAACTCAGCACCCCCCAAATAGCCCGGCCAGCCCCCGGCGGGAGCGCTGCGGCCCCGGCTCCGGCCCGAGGATGATCTTACAGCCCGGGAAGCTCCAAACCGCCGCTCCTGTCCATAAAAAGCAAAGGGCTTTGAGCATGGAATCATCGGGGCTGCAGGGATTGCGCCAGCGGGGGGGAATCGCTCCCGG